CTGTCATCTCTACCTTCAGTATGGATTTTTATATAGTTCTATGCTCTTTCATAATTAGCTTTTTTAAATATGAACCATTTGCATGTTTAAAGGCAAGTTACTCATTGTTTGAAATAATATATTCATCTTAATTTGCTATCTTTTCCTTTACTGTTGGGTATTAAGGTTGTATTCACTTTTCCCCTACTACAAATATTACTACAAATATTGAATCAAAGGGTAAGAATATCTTACAACATTTTGAGCTGTTGACAGGTTTCCCAACTGTTTTTACCAATTTATATGGCTACCAGCAATATTTGTCAAAATTTGTCAATACTTTCTCTCACTGGATATTGATATTTAAAATTACTTCTCTAGGGTCTCCCTGGTGGCACAAGGGGTTAAGTCTCAGCACTATCAAGCTATCAGCAGCCACTGTAGCTTGAGTTTGATTCCCAGTCAGGGAGGTGACCCACATGGGACAGCAGACCTCTCCTGTTCACCCGCTGCTCCCCTCAACATTATATTTTAGTAGATCTTCCTCTTCTTCTCCCCACTCTGTCTCTGGTGAATCCTCTCGCACTCCCCCCCATCTGTACCTCTGGCCTAGACCCCAGTTCTTGCATGCAAAAATAAATAAAAATAAATCTTTAAAAAAAATTAAATAAAATAACTTCTCTAATTTCATGGGTAAAAGTAGTATCTGAGGACCTCCCTAGTGGTGCAGGAGGTTAAGACACAACCTATGAAGCCCTCCACAGCCATTGCAGCATGAGTTCGGATCCCTGGCCAGGGAGCAACCCACATGGAGCAGCAGACCTCTCCTAACTTGCCCGCTGTTCCCCTAGGCAGTGAGTTCAGTCAATACACCTTTTCTGTTCCCCATTTTGTCTCTGGTGAATCCTCTCTGTGAGTTGTGAATCCCCTGCAACTCTAGTCTGTACACTAATTCTTGTATGTATAAATAAATAAATCTTTTTTTTTTTTTTAAAGTAGTGTCTGAGACTAAGTCAGGTAAAGCAGAGTTTGGTGGGCCAGTGCAAGGGTAGCCCAGAGCCTGAGGCAGACACAGGAAGCCCAGCTGGAACCTGGCAGGCCTCTAACAGGACAGACATCCTTTAAGGTCTTCCTTCCCTGAACCAGATTGCCCACCCTCCTTGGATTCTTTGTCTGAGTTGTTTCTCTTTGTGTGTCCGTCACTTTGCCTCTGGTTCTGTCTATTGCTTGTATATGCTTCCTGTCTGTATGTCTCACTCTCTTTTCTCTGTGTCTCTGGTCTGCCTGTTTCTGGTTGTCTGTCTCTTTCTTTCTCTGTCTTCTGCCCTATGAGTCCATTCTCTCATCTCTGCTTTTCCTGCACATAGTTAAAAATAGTTCCCCCAGCAGCCCCACTTGTCTGCCTCCACCTTTGTGTTTACCTTCCGGATTCTGGACTAAAAATCTGGTTGACTCAGCTTGGACAGTTCAGTGGTTTGGGTCACCCCAGTGGTCAACGGAGAGGTCAGTTCTTAGAAAGAAGGAAGGAAGGGAGGAGGGCCCCCTCTTATCGGTACCTCATCCTGACCATCAGTCACCCTGAGCCCCACTCTGCAGAGACAATTCAGCAAGTGTGTCCTGAAAGAGGCAGTAGTGAAAACCCTTTCTTGATCATCTATCACAATCGACAGAAACAATCTTCTAAGGATTAGCTTTGATCCCTCTAGGGTGAGGAAGAATTTGCTTAATTGGTCTCCTCTTTGATACTGTGTGTCTGGGGAATGGGAGAGGAGCTAATGTCTCAGATGACCTTATTTGTATGTTTGCTTTTACCATCTTTTTTCTGCTTTTAAACCTAAAACTCAGTCTGCCTCCCACCCACCCCTTTCCTTCCTTGACCTCAAGTTAGTAATCTGACTTTGTATTGAGAATTAATCCTGTGGTTTTTTCATAAGGAAGATCATCCTTCACTTTTACCAAGAAGCTCTAGGTCAGTGAGAGTGTGCTTGGTAACTGTTAGGTTTTGGGGGCACAGAGATCCTTGACCTGAAAACCTGAAACAGAACTGATGGATTAGGCCCCAAAAGCAGCATTGACAGCAAGACTGTGAGTCAGAGACAGGGGTCAGGCTGATATCACAGTGGTGGGGGAAAGTGGGCAGCTCAGCGGAAGTGGCTAAGTGAACCCGTGAGGTCAATGGTAGAAGGGATCAGGAGGGTAACCTGAATTATTGCACATTTCCCAGATCTCTTTTGTGCTTTATTGTAAAGATGAGTCACATAGCATATTATTTTTAATTGTTTAATGGGCAATAGGTATTTGTGAAACCTGTTCCAGAGGCCCCAAGGTATCCACCAAAAACTTAATTTCCCTGCCACTCCGGTTACTCAGCCACCCAGTTCCCTGGGTAAGAGTAGCTCCCTGGTTGAGGAAATCAAGGCTTGAAGTGAGAAACTGTCCAACGTCATACTGTGGCAAGGGCAGCTGCTGCCTTTCTAACACAGTTTGTGCTGTTCCTGGGCCCCATTGTGCTGTGCTGGGTCTCTTCATAGCACTAGACACTGCAGTGTTTGCGGATAGTTATTACTATTTTTCTAACTATCTGTTTTCTGTATCTCACCAACAATGTCTTTTCTGAGGCTGGGCCAATCCCATCTGTCCCTATCACAGCGTAGGTAAGTTATTCTAGGGTGTTTAAATAAGAAATTACAGCTACAATGGTAGTGCTGTTAAAAGTGCAGAGATTCTACAGATGTCTCTGTATTGTGTTTTGTCATGATGGTAATTGTAACCAGAATCTGTACTGACCACAAGTGACATTGACACATTGCTGAAAGTCCCTCCTTTTCATATATCTTCTCTGTATAATATATATTTTTTAAATCAGCAATTTCACTTTCTGTATGAATGTTGTCCTGAACAGAATGTTCTTTAAAAATCCTATAATGTGAACCCCTTTGCCTCCTCTCATTTTCAGATAAGCAGACTTTACTGAAATTAGAATTTGGGAAGGCCTCCCTGGGGGCAGAGGCGGTTGAGCGCAGCTCTGTGAAGCTGTGTGCAGCCTCTGCAGCACCAGTTCAATTACCAGCTGGCCAGGGAGAAATCCACATGGTGCAGCAGACCTCTCCTGTCTCGCCCGCTGCTCCCCTCAGCAGTGTATTTCGTCAGTCTGCCTGTTCTGTTCCCCGCTCTGTCTCTGGTGAATCCTTTCACCCCCACCCTCCCGCACATCTGGCCTGTACCCCCGTTCTTGTATAAATAAATAAATCTTTAAAAAAAAGAACTTTGGGGGAGTCATATGATGCCCAGAACCCCTCACTTAGAGATCCCTTGTGAAGGATTCATATGTCTTGAGTGGCTTGAGATTCCTGCTGTGGACCTTTGCCTGTGTCAACCAATTTAGGATACCAGGGGAGATGGGACCAGAGAATGTGCACCCCATTTCCTAATGCTGCAGCAAAATGCTGCCACTATGAGCTACCTTCTGGACTTGAACTTGACAGGTGTTTTTCCCTTCTTTTAGTGCCATCAACACTGTGCTTCAAGTGCATTACGTAGGTCTTTCTGGGTTCTCCTGGCTAGGTGATCACAGCTGATGGATTTCTATTAAAAAGTAGGGTTTGAGTTTCAAACAACTTATTTATTACTACCTTGTGGAACATAACTCTCACAAGTTGGCATATCTGTGTTTGCCCTATTTATCTTGCTTTTGAGTGCTGACAGTGGAATCCAGCCTCGTTATTAGCTTGTATTATTCTTTTGGCTTTTGATGAGTTGGCTCATGTGATATGTATCTACACATATTTGTCTATTTTAACCTACAATGTGGTATTTTTGAGAGTCAGAGTTGTAATAACATTTTTTTTTTTGTTTTAAAATGTGGACCTGAGTCATTGCTAAATGTAAGCAAGCATACTGATCAAAGATCAGCCAACTGTTTTGGAACTTGAAGGTCATTTAAACGTCACATCCATATTTGGCTTCTAGTCATTCTGTAAGGGTTTTAATTAGATCCTTGATTGCTTGTAAATAGGCCTTCAGTGATCTAAACTGGTACTTCCAACATATAGAAGAAAGCCTTTGAGATCTTGGAAGACTCCATGTTCATTTCTAGTTTAGCGTCTCAACCACCTGAGAACGAGGAAGCACCTCTATATCTTTGTGGGTTATAAGATGACTAATGTGGAGACTTGTCATAATTTGCATTAGTCTTTCCACGTGTTGAAGTTGACTTTGACCTTTGACTTTTGTTATTTCGTTCTTCTTCAGGAGTGCACTAGGGCTTATGGATTCAGAAGGCTTTATGTGCACTGCTCTGAAATGGCAGCCATGCCTGTTAAATTATTTTGCATATTTGTTTACAATGAAGTATGCTATTTTAAATCAGTCATGGTGGCGTTCTGAAAACTTTCCTCTTGGAGTTTCTTCATTTCTTTCAGATCACAGAATGGTCCTTTCTTAAATCTTAGAACTAGAAACTAATGTCTCTTGTCTCATTCAGCAAAGGTCAATTTGCATCAAAGCTAGTGGCTTTTGTGGCAGAAGGAGGATAAATACATATCTGATTCTTGTTTGATTCAAAGATTGTTTTTAGGAGGGGAGGATTTTATTATAGATAAATAATTCACACACCACAAAATTTATCCTTTTAGAGTGCATAAGTCAGTAATATTCTTTTGTACATTCACAGAATTGCATGACCACCACTCTTATATAATTCCAGAACATTTCCATCACTGCAAAAAGAATCCCCATAATTCCTCATGTTCTCCTACCCCCAGGCCTTGGCAAACGCTGATAAACTTTGTCTCTTTGGATTTTCTTATTCTGCACATTTTATATAATAAGAATCATACAATTATGTCTGACTTCATTCACTTAGCATAATGTTTTTAATGTTCATCCACATTGTAGCATGACTCAGTATTTCATCCCTTTATATAGTTGAATAATAATATTGTATTGTGTCTTAGTATGGACCAGTATAGCAAATTATCATAGTTCCAATAGTTTAAACTACAAACACTTATATCTTGCAGTTCTGGAAGCTGGGAAGTCCAAGGACCAGGTACCAGCAGATCCTATGTCTGGTGAGTGTCCACATCCTGGTTTGTAGGCGACCATTTTCTCATTGTATCCTCATGTGGCTGAGAGCAGGGAGCGGAAGCCAACTTTCTTTTTATCAGGTCCCTAATCCTATTCATAAGGGCTCCATCCTCATGACCTAATTACCTCACAGTGGTCTCTTCTCCATGTACCATCACATTGGGATTATGCTTCAATATAAATTGTGGGAAGACACAAATATTCAATCCATAGTGTATAGATATTCCACTAAGTGGAATTCATCAGTTTATAGCTACTCGGGTGTTTCTACTTTTTTTTTCAAAGTGTTTTTTTTTAAATATTTATTTATTTATTATACAAGAACCTGGGTACAGGCCAGATGCATGAGAGAGTGAGAGGATTCACCAGAGACAGAGCGAGGAACAGAACAGGCAGACTGACGAAATACACTGCTGAGGGGAGCAGCGGGCTTGACAGGAGAGGTCTGCTGCATCATGTGGGACCCTCACCAGCCAGCCGGGATTGAACCGGCTCTGCCAAGGCTGTGGACAGCTTCACAGTGCTGCGCTCAACTGCCTGCACCACCAGGGGAGGCCCTACTTTTTTATTATAAATAAAAAATTTACTATTATGAATTCTAAATTCTGCTTCCATGAACATTCTTGTACAATTTTTGTATGTTCGTATGTTTTTCAAGTCTCTTGGGTAATACCTAGCAAGCTATAGAACTATTGTCTCACGTGGTAAACTATGTTTAATATTTTGAGAAACTGCCGGACTGTTTTCAAAGTATGCATTGCCACCAAAATATTTGCATAGAATCCTAAATTTGAAAAGTGTTAATATCCTTATTAACACTAGTATTTGTCTATCTGTTTTTTATTATTGTAGTCATCCTAGGAAGTAAGAGATGGTGTCTTTTTGTAGATACTTTCACGTTGCACATTTTTTTATGGACTTATCAACCATTTGTGTCATCTTCAGAGAAATTTCAGGTCCTTTGCCCACATAAAATACTGGGCTCTTTATTTTTTCATTGTTAAGTTATAAGTTATATCCTGGATAATAAAACCCAAATCAGATAGATGATCTGCAAATATTTTCTCCCATTCTTGGATTATCTTTTCATTCTCCTGATACTACCCTACAAAGCATGAAAGTTATTAATTTTAATGAAGACCAAGTTACTATTTTTCTCTTTCATTGCTTTTGCTTTACATATCATATCTAAAAAATCATGACCTAATCCAAGTCCAGGAAAATTTTTATCCCTGTATTTTCTTTTCTTTTTTTTTTAAAATTATTTATTTTTATATATTTTTTTTTAAGATTTATTTATTTATTTATACAAGCACTGGGTACAGTCAGAAGCGCGGGAGGGTGAGAGAATTCACCAGAGCCAGAGCAGGGAGCAGAACAGGCAGAAGGACCAAAGTACACTGCTGAGGGGAGCAGCGGGCGCCAGGAGAGGTCTGCGCGCCATGTGGAGCAGCGGGCGCCAGGAGAGGTCTACGCGCCATGTGGGACCCTCCTCTGGTGGCCGGGGAGTAGCCGGGGATCGAACCGGCGCTGCAGAGGCTGCGGGCAGCTTCGCAACCCAGTGCTCAACCACTGCGCCACCAGGGAGGCCCTATCCCTGTATTTTCTTTTAAGATTATATAATGTTAGGTCTTACATTTAGGTCTGATCTATTTTGAGGGAACTTTTGTATGTAGTCAGTAGGATCCTATGTCCAACTTCATCCTTTTGCGTGTGAACATCCCCTTGCCCCAGCATTTGTTGAAGAGACTATTCTTTCCCCATTGAGTTGGCTTTTTCTCAAAAATGAACTAACTATAAATGTGAGAGTTTAACTTCTGCATTCTCAGTTCTAATCTATTAGAATCCTAAATTTGAAAAGATTGTCTTTTGATGTGATGTTGATACCCATTTTTCTACCCCACATGCTTTAAGACGTCTTTTATCTGACATTAATAAAGTTAAATTGTCAGTTTGAAGTGTTAGTTTGAAGTGACCTTGAATTCAGTTTCAAGTCTAATTTCACTATTGTGTGAAAGGTATGAATTTGGAAATCAGTAGTATTACAAAAGTTTGACCTCCAGCTTTGTCTCAGTTTCTTAATTGTAGAATGAAGCTTAAAATTGAACTCAGAAGGTAGCTCGGAGAGTTAAGTAACTCTCAGATATATGTATGTAAAAGCATCTAGCATGATGTCCGGGAAATGATAGATGCAAAATAAATATGTTGCTTTTACCATAACTTTCTTAAGGTCGCAAAAACTTTCATTGTACCTTATAAGGTGGTTCTGAATTTTCCCTTGAAGTCAGCCTTCTTTCACTTAGAAACTGTTTTCCTTAAAGTCACTGTATGGCTTGATATTACTCAAATTTCTAATCTGTTCTGTGGGATTGTTGGTAGCTTAGTGTTTCAGCCTTCATTCATTGCTTTATTTCCAGTGTCTACAATTGTGTCTGACCAATAGTAAGTGCTCAATAAACATTTGTTAGGTGAATACTAAATGTTGATCCCATTTTTTTGTTTGCTTGGAAGAATATAGTGCAGTTTGCTTGGAGATATGTTTTTCAGTGTGCCCACACAATAGTTGCATAGTTAAATTCTGAGATATTTTCCACCATATTGTTTTGAGCAGATTGTCAAGTTCTTTTAGAGTGCTAATCCCTGAAGTATACTTCTTTCCTCCAAATGATATTGTATTTCCCACCAGGTCTTTCTTCTGCAGGGTAATTTCAGTGTGAAGTAGAAAGGACTGAGCCTGAGTAGTAAATTTGAGAAAGCCAGAGGGAAGTTGGGCTTGGGGGAAGCTATGTGATAAGAGATCAGAAAGGGACTTGTAAGGGAGTGTTGGATCAAATAATCCCTGTCTCTGAACATTGCTCACAACTCACTAGACCCCTCAAGTCTAGACATGCAACTCTAAGCAAACAGTTTCAAAATATTATTAGCCATTGTGAGCTTGATTCATAGCCAAGAAGTGGTGCCTGTGCGTGTTGAGCTATTATCTTTGCAATGAATAAACCAACCTTTAAAGGTAAGAGTTCAGGTCATTTCATGGGCTCAGAATAATTGAATTTTTAAAAGATTTATTTATTTATTTATTTATTTATTTATTTATTTATTTATTTATTTATTTATTTATTTATTTATACAAGCACTGGGTACAGTCAGAAGTATGGGAGGGTGAGAGAATTCACCAGAGCCAGAGCGGGGAACAGAACAGGCAGACTGACGAAGTACACTGCTGAGGGGAGCAGCGGTCATGGCAGGAGAGGTCTGCGCACCATGTGGGACCCTCACCAGGCGGCCGGGGATCAAATCGGTGCTGCAGAGGCTGCGGGCAGCTTCGCAACCCAGCGCTCAAACGCAGCACCACGGGGAGGCCCCAGAATGATTGAATATTAAAGCTGGATAGGATGATCAGTCTGAAGGCATGTTGATATCACCACAAAGAGTAGATTCCATGACCAAATCAGTTAGGAATGAGTTCAACAAAGATAATAGATATGACTTTTGCTGTTAGTTTTAACTGCAGAACCTCTCAAGTCATACACTGTGTTCAAGAGGGAATGGAGAAGCAACATTCCCCTAAGTGACTTGTCTGTGGGGGCTTATTTTTTGCCTCTATAATAACCTTGTGCAATTGGCATTTAGCAGAGTACATACTGAATAATTATGACCCAGATTCAAAAATACCTTTTTTTTTCAGACATGAATTCTGATTTATTAATTTTTTCAGGTGCTATTTCTAGGAAGGGTCATTATCTAGAAGCTAACTGTGTCCACTTTCATAGTAAGAGAATTGTCAAAAAGTGAGAACTTAATTAGGAATCACAATCGAAGCTGAGGAACAATGTGTATGTAACTTATAAAATGCCCTATGTTCCAGAATCTAAATGTTCGTTTTTTGTTTATGTTTACTTGTATAGCTTAGTCTAGTAGTGCCTAACAATTCCTGATCAGATATAGTTGTAAAATTGTATTATGCTGCTTTTACTATGATACACACTGCTTAGGACGGCGGGCAGAAAGAGGTTGCAGGAAGATGGCCCATACGAAACCAAACCGCTGACTTCTGCTATGGAATGAACAAAACGTGAACAGTTACCTTGTTCTGAGTTGTCAGATAAGCTTGCTATGACTGGAATGCATAGTTGCATTCTTGGAGGTCTGAGGTAGAGCAGACTGAATCCAGTTACCCATGTGGGTAAAGGCTATATTGAGTCATAATATTTCTTCCTTCTTCCCCCTCTCAACCTAAAACTCTACCCTTCTTTCATTCTTCCAAGTCATCTAACAGGATTTGTTTATTTAACTTTATTCTTTAAAACATTGTATTATTATTTTTTGATGTAACGGCTTACAATACCAAATAAGGTTTAGAGGCATATGTTTATACCTTTTTAGCTGTATGTTACCATACATCACACCCCGGATCAGGAATGTTTCGCTTTCTTTAGAAGAGTGAGGTGGAGGAAGAGAGAGAGAGACAGAAAGAGAGGTTGATTGGAAGAGACCTTAGTGGCTTAACTACCTTCACTTCTAATAAATCCAACTCATGTGTATCGGTGTGTCACTGTTGTGGTCCAACCACAACACGTGGGATTCCCAGTGTCTGTAGTTTCCATTCAGGCCTCTTGTTAAAAGACCCAAGAACCACTGTTTTCCCTGTGTATGTTCTTGGGAGTTTCTGTATTACTCTGCTGGATCACAGTGGGGAAGAGTAATGCAGGCAAATTCTCTCATTTTGGAACATAGCATTTCTCCAACTGAGACACAAACAGAGAATAGAGAGTACTGTGGGGGAGTATTGGTAAGTGTTGGGGAAATACAAGAAGCATAGGTCAGGGTACCAATTTAGGAAAGCCAATCAGAAAAGTAATCACTGTCTCAATTTTACCTCAGTGATATGTGTTCCTATCTTAAAAATCAAGCAACATCAAAAAAAGTTGAAAGCATAAATGAAAATACTATCCAAAAATCTCAACCAGAAAACATCCAATGTTAA